AATGTTTAAAAATGTGCATCTTAGAAACAGTTAAAACTTAAAGAAATAAAAATTTTTTAAAAATAATTAGTTAAGACAAGGCCGGGCATGGTGGCTCATGCCTGTAATCCCAGCACTTTGGGAGGCTGAGACGAGTAGATCACCTGAGGTCAGGAGTTCGACACCAGCCTGACCAACCGTCTCTACTAAAAACACAAAAAATTACCCGGGAGTGGTGGCGGGCGCCTATAATGCCAACTACTTGGGAGGCTGAGGCAACAGAATCACCTGAACCCGGGAGGCAAAGGTTGCAGTGAGTGGAGATCACTGCATTCCAGCCTGGGCAACGAGAGCGAAACTCCATCTCAAACAAAAAAGACTTGATATTAAAGATTAAACAGGAAAATCACGTTTCACAAATGTATAGCCTGTGTGTTTTGCATTATTAAGAAGGACCATGGTAGCACAACAAATCTAAAAACAAAGAAAATTTTTCATTACTGACCATAACTAACAAAACTACATTTATTCTCTTACAGTAGAACAGCAAGTAACAGGAGCCCAAGCTATATATCTTTGTTCTTCAGTGATCTATTCTGTTCATTCCCTTTTGTCTTTATGGTATATACTTTTCCTAATCTTTCAATGCCCTGATAGTTTTTGACATAGTCATCATCTTTAGGCTCCATATATTAGGCTTCAGGATTTTATTTTACTGTCTTGGGTAAATTGCCAAATTGCTAGGATTTTTGTTTGGTTGTAGTCACTGAGGAAATAAAATTTCTTCCCTTTAGCTTTGGGAAATTATTAAAATATGCCTAAATTTAGAGCTACACTTTAAATGAGATAATTTGAGTTATAAGTTAGCATACATTATCAGCAGCTATCGTTAAATTGCTTGCCCTGGAGCAATATAGTATATTTCTTTTTTCCAGATGTGACTTCTTTCTGAACCCTAAACAAAAGATGTGTGATCTCTTTTGTTTTTTTGTTTTATTTTTGAAATGGAGTCTCTCTCTGTCACCCAGGCTGGAGTGCAGTGGCGCGATCTCGGCTCACTGCAACCTTCACCTCTCAGGTTCAAGCGACCTTCCTGCCTCAGCCTCCCAAGTAGCTGGGATTACAGGCGCCTGCCACCATGCCCGGCTAATGTTTGTATTTTTAGTAGAGATGAGATTTCACCATGTTGACCAGGCTGGTCTCGAACTTCTGACCTCAGCTGATGTGCCTTGCCGAAAGATGAATGATCTTTTGTGTTTTTGTGCTATTGGTTAGTCAGTGCTCCTTGAACATTTGAATATACAGGAAAACTACCACATTAAATACTGTTCTTTCCTTACAATATTGCCTAATGCTTAAAATAATTTTTCTTTTTTTTTTCTTTTGGGACGAGGTCTTGCTATGTTGCCCAGAATAGAGTAGTGCAGGTGTGATCATCATACACTACAGCCTCAAACTCCTGGGCCCTAGTGATCCTCCCACCTCAGCTTCCCAAGTAGCTGGGAAGCTGGAACTAAAGGCCCATGCCTCTGCACCTGGCTATGCTTAAAATATTTTTGATGTTGGCTTGTGTATTGTTATTCTAATTTGTCTTTGTGACCTCCTATTCTCTAATCTTTTTATCAGTTTTTAATTATAAATGTCAGTTGAGGCTCCGTTTATAGGCCTTTTTTTTCTTGTCTTTCACTTCATTTGGGGTTCATGTACATTTATTTCACTATCTCCAGTGAAATTTCCAGAACCATCTCTTTAGTCCTGGTAAGATAGTGCTTGCAGAAAATAACCAAAAAGATGGGTAGTGTTTTTCTTTTCTTTTCTTTTCTTTTCTTCTTTTTTATGTATTAAGTCCAACTTCTGCAGAAGGGTGGTCATTCTCTTTTTTTTTTTTTTTTTTTCTTGACACGGAGTCTCGTTCTGTCATCCAGACTGGAGTGCATTGGTGCGATCTCAGCCCACTGCAACCTCCACCTTCCTGGTTCAAGCGATTCTCCTGCCTCAGCCTCCCAAGTAGCTGGAATTACAGGCGCCTGCCACCACACCTAGCTAATTTATGTATGGGGGTTCATCATGTTGGACAGGCTGGTCTGGAACTGCTTACCTCAAGTGATCTACCCACCTCTCTCCCAAAGTGCTGGGATTACAGGCGTGAGCCACTGCTCCTGGCCATTCATTCTCTTTTTAAAGTTACTTACCTGATTTCTCAACTCAAAACATGGGAAATTTTATTCCTCTCAGTTTGGCCCACACATCTCACATGTCTTCGGAAGTAGTTTGCTCACTAACGGTTTGTTCATTCTAGACTTTGTGCCCTTGCATACACCGTTACATCTAACTTAGCAGTCTTTGCTCTCTCCTCCTTCAAAGCCTGATTCAAATCTTCTGTCATGTGAAATCTTCCTTAGTTGGGCCTGTCTGGTTATTTATTCTTACTCTCATCATCCAGTCAGTACTTAAATACTTATGCTAGTCAGCACTCATATTCATTTGAGTTTATAGGTTATTGAAAGATATCTAAACCCTAGAAGTTAGCTAGATCCAGTGCAGCAAAACTGGTAAAATAATTTTGACTGAACCTTGAAAATTGTTACAGCAGTAATTGACTTTAATTTTTGTCTTTGTAAATATATTGCTGATAAAAATTATTTCTCTCAGAAATTATCAACAAGGTTGTAGAGTCTACAGAGACCAGAAGTGTTTTTCTACAAGGTTGTGTTACAGGGTACCTCAGTTTATTTTTAAGTCCACTATCGACTCATCTGATGATTTAATGTATCAAATAGGCTGGGTGCAGTGCTCAACGCCTGTGATCCCAGCACTTCTGGAGGCCAAGGCAGGGAGATCACTTGAGGTCAGGAGTTCAAGACTAGGCTAACCAACATGGTGAAGCCCTGTCTCTACTAAAAATAGGAAAAATTAGCCAGGTGTGGTGGCATCTGTAATCTCAGCTACTTGGGAGGCTGAAGCAGGAGAATCGCTTGAACCCAGGAGATGGAGGTGGCAGTGAGCCAAGATCACGCCACTGCACTCCAGCCTGGGCAACAGAGTGAGACTCTCTCTAAAAATAAATAAATAAGTAAAATAAAATATCAAATAGTTTTAACAACAAAACATAGTTTTTATAGTCCCCAGTTTTTATTCCCCAGAGGCACCACTTTCAAGTCTTTTGGCTGATTTTCTTCTATTTGATATTGTCTGTTAACTTCCTAATAAGTTGAGAAGTTAGCCTTGTTGCCCTCATTTCACACACACAGACACTCCATTTTCTTTCCTTCAATAACATAATAAAAGTTTTTTTTTTCCCCCACATGAAGTTCAGTACTGGTGTTTGTGGTCATGTGATTTTTCAGGATTGGAGCACTGGTTCTCAAAGTGTTGTCCAGAAACCCCAGAGAGGTTTCCAAGATCGTGTCACAGGGTCCATAAGTTCTAAAGTATTTTTTTTTATATAGTACTAAGGTTTTATTTATGTTTGGCACGCTCATTTTTTCCACAATTATACATGGAGTTTTCCAGTAGCCACGTGACATTTGATGACATGATGGCATCACACTGATAGCTAATGAAACGTGCACTTGTGTGTTCCTGTATTTTCCAGAATTTTCTGAGGTAAGAATACCTCAATTGATTGAATGCAGAGACAGGTATGAAAGTTGACCTGTGTTATATTAAACCACATATCAAAAAGCCTTGCAGAAATGTAAAATAAGGCTAATCACTAAATGTTTTGTTTTAGAAAAAAGTTACTTTTCATTAAAAGCAGTTACATATGTTGATATGTACTGGGTTTATGTCTTTGTTTTTTTCAGTAGACATTGAACAAATACTGATAACTGGTTTAGTTTAGTTAGAAATAGATTCTACTGTATTTTAACATATTGGCCAGGCAGGGTGGCTCACACCTGTAATCCCCACACTTTGGGAGGCCAAGGTGGGCGGATCACCTGAGGCCAGGAGTTCAAGATCAGCCTGGCCAACATGGTGAAACCCCATCTCTACTTAGAATGCAAAAATTTGCTGGGCGTGGTGGTGCATAACTGTAATCCCAGCTACTCAGGAGGCTGAGGCAGGAGAATCACTTGAACCTGGGAGACGGAGGTTGCAGTGAACCAAGATCATGCCACTGCACTTTAACCTGGGTGACAGAGTGAAACTCTGTCTGAAAAACAAACAAACATTACTTATTAGAAATTACTGGCCGGGCGCGGTGGCTCACACCTTTAATCCCAGCACTTTGGGAGGCTGAGGCTGGCAAATCACAAGGTCCGGAGATCGAGACCATCCTGGCTAATGCGGTGAAACCCCGTCTCTACTGAAAATATAAAAAATTAGCTGGGCGTGGTGGCGGGCGCCTGTAGTCCCAGCTCAAGAGGCTGAGACAGGAGAATGGCATGAACCCGGAAGGGGGAGTTTGCAGTGAGCCAGCATTGTGCCACTGCACTCAAGCCTGGGCGACAGAGCAAGACTCTGTCTCAAAAAAAAAAAAAAAAAGAAATTACTTTGTACTTAAAGTTTATTGTGCTTTAAATATCTGGTTTTATTATTAGAATATTAAAGCCTTCTCGAGCTTCAACCCAGTTTGCCAGAATTTTTGTCAGCCCTGTGTTCTCAGGAGAAAACAACTTACATCAAGAGTTTCATCAGCATTTCGTTTCAACAAACATTTGTTGATCATTTGTGCTTGGATGAGATGGAAGGAAGCATAAGACAGCTCTTAATCATCCATATCTTGTACTGCAACATCTACCCCATATGGTGAGAATTAACCTTAGGTTGATGACTCAGTTGCTGCAGAATCACTTGAACCTGGGAGGCGGAGATTGCACTGAGCTGAGATCACGCCAGTGCACTCCAGCCTAAGCAACAAAGTGAGACTGTCTCAAAAAAAAAAAAAAAGGTACATACAGCAAACTGAGGAACAATAGTAGGATACAGAGAGCTTTAAGCCATCAGTTATGAGTCTCTGTTAATTGTCTGTTATTAATTTGGTTATTGATTTTTGTTATTCTTTTTTCTCCCTGTAGGTTTGTAAAAGAATGGACTTGGTCTGCCAGAGAATGTTGAATCAGGGATTTCTTAAAGTGGAGAGGTACCATAATCTATGTCAGAAACAAGTTAAAGCACAACTCCCAAGGTATGTTGTGGGTGGCAATGACAATGATATACAGCTGGTTTTGTTTCTTGACTTCTTTTTTTCAGTCTCGTGGTTTATATATTGCTTTCCAAGTTTTTATAGCAAAGGGCACAAAGATCACAATGTGATTTCTGCAGTGGTTTGTCCATTCTCACCGTTTCTGATCAACATTTTACTGGAGGTTCTAGCCAGAGAAAATAGGCAAGAAAGTGAAATATAAGGCATCCAAATGGGAAAAGAAGAAGTAGAACTCTTGTGTTCACAGATGATATGATCTTGTGGATAAGGAGTACGCTAATTGATTGTTAAAGCTAGTAAACCAGTTCAGCAAGGATATGGGATATAAAAATAATATACAGAAATCAATTATATTTATATACACTAGCAATGAGCAATCCAAAAAGGAAGTTCAACACATTGGATCATAGTTTCAAAAAGAATAGAATACTTAGTAATACATATAACAAAAACACAAGACTTGTATGCTAAAAACTACAAACACCATTGAAAGAAATTAAAGAAGACTTAAATAAGTGGAAGGGCATTCTGTGTTCATGGATTCGAAGACTTCATATTGTTAAGATGACAATACTCTCCAGACTGATCTACACATTCAGTGTGATAAGGGTTGACAATAAGGTACAATATGTTTTGTTTGTTTCTTGACTTCTTTTTTTTTTGTAACCCCTATCAAAAATTCCAGCTGTCTTTTTTTTTTTTCTCCAAAACTTGATACACTGATCCTAAAATTCCTGTGGAAATACAAGAGTGTGACAATAACCAAAGCAATTTTGAAAAAGGAGAGGAGTATTGGAGGACTAACACTTCCCACTTTCAAAACTTAGTACAAAGCTATAGTAATCAAAACAGTATGGCACTGGCCTAAGGATAGAACTGTAGATCAAAGAAATAGAGGCAAGAGTCTGGATAACAAACGTTGTATTTTTAGTCAGTTGATTTTAACAAGAATGTCACGATAATTCAATGCGGTAAGAGTAGTGTTTTCAACAAATGATGCTGGGACAACTAGTTTTCTTCATGAAAATGAATGAAGTTAGACCTCTTCCTCATACTGTATATCAAAGTTAACTCAAAAGGGATCATAGACCTAAGTGTAAATGTCAGCACTATATATAACCCTTAGAAGAAAACATAGTAATAAGTCTTCATGAACTTGGATTAGGCAGTGACACCAAAAGCACAAGTAGCAAAAGAAAAAATTAGGCAAATTGGACTTAAAATTTAAAACTCTTGTGGCTCAAAACACACCATTAAGGAAATGAAAAGACACCCCACAAAATGAGAGAAAACATGCGCAAATCGTGGATCCAGATTGTATAAGGAACTCTTACAACTCAACAATAAAAAGACAACCCAGTTTAAAAAAGGGTAAAGGGGCCAGGTGCGAGGTGGTGGATCACCTGAGATCAGGAGTTCAAGACCAGCCTGGCCAGCATGGTAAAACCCTGTCTCTACTAAAACTACAAAAACTACCTGCGCGTGGTGGCGGGCGCCTGTAATCCTAGCTACTCGGAGGCTGAGGCAGGAGAATCGCTTGAACCCGGAAGGCGGAGGTTGCAGTGAGCCGAGGTCGCACCACTGCACTCCAGCCTTGGTGACAGAGCAAGACTCTGTCTCCAAAAAAAAGGGCAAAGGATTTGAATAGACACTTCTCCAAAGAAGATAAGTAATAGCCAACAAGCACATGAAAGGTGCTCAACATCATTAGTCATCAGGGGAATGCAAATCAAAACCACTACGAGGTTTATATCCACTAGTGCTTTATATCCACTAGGATGACTACAATGGAAAAATGTTGGGGAGGATGTGACAAATTGGAACCTTCATATATCAATGTTGGGAATGTAAAATGGTGCAGTCACTTTAGAAAACAGTGTGGCTGTTCTCAGGCCGGATGTGATGGCTCACGCCTGTAATCCCAGCACTTTGGCCAAGGCAGGTGGATCACCTGAGGTCAGGAGTTCAAGACCAGCCTGGGCAACATGGTGAAACTGTGTCTCTACAAATATTTGAAAATTAGCCAGGCATATGTTGAGTGCCTATAATCCCAGCTTCTCAGGAGGCTGAGGCAGGAGAGTTGCTTGAACCCAGGAGGCAGAGGTTGCAGTGAGCCGAGATCGTGCCATTGCATTCCAGCCTGGGCAACATAGTGAGACTTGGTCTCAAAAAAAAAAAAAAAGAAAGAAAGAAAACAGTTGGGCTGTTCTCAAAAAGTTAAACAGAGAGTTATTGTCTGAGCCACCAATTTCATTCCTACATAAGTACCCAAAAGAAATGAAAACATAATGTTTGCACAAAAACTTGTACACGACGTTTTTAGCAGCATTATTCATAATAGCCAAAAAGTGGAGACAACCCAAGTGTCTGTCAGCTGATGAGTAAACAAAGTGATGATATATCTGTATGATGGAATGTTACTGGGCAATAAAAAGGTACATGCTACAACAAGAACGAACCTTGAAAACTATGCTGAATGAAAGAAGCCAGAAACATAAGGCCACTTTATGATTCCATTTATCTGAAATTTTCAGAATAGGTGGATCCAGAGAAACAGAAAGTAGATTAGTATTGCCAGGGACTGGGAGTATGGGAGTGGCTGATGATGGTTCCAGGAGTTCATTCTGTGGTGATGAAAATATTCTGAAATTAGATAGTGGTGATAGTTGTACAATCCTGTGACTATACTAAACACCACTAAATTGTCCTCTTTAAGATAATTTTATTATGGATGAGTTATTTCTCAAATTGTTAAAAAGTTTAAAGGAGTTAAATTTTATGGTCAAAAGCATATAGACTCCTGCCTATATTTCTATGTGTAATCCATTCATTTATCTAATTTCTCTGGTTCTAATAGCCATTAGATTTGATAACCAAAAAAACCTTTTTTTTTTTTTTTTTTTTTTTTGAGATGGTGTCTTGCTCTGTCGCCCAGGCTGGAGTGCAGTGGTGTGGTCTTGGCTCACTACAACCTCCTCCTCCCAGATTCAAGCGAGTCTCCTGCCTCAGCCTCCCTAGTAGCTGGGACTATAGGAGTGCACCATCACGCCTGACTAATTTTTGTATTTTTAGTAAAGATGGGGTTTCACCATGTTGCCCAGCCTGGTCTCAAACTCCTGACCTCAGGTGATCCACCTGCCTCAGCCTCCTAAAGTGCTGGAATTACAGGCGTGAACCTCCAAGCCCGGCCCCAAAAAACCTAATTAAAAAATATGTATATATAATTTGGGGGTTTTTTTGTTTGTTTTCAAATATTTTGTCAGTGAGTACCAGTCCTTGGTAAGGATTTCTAGGCATCGTGATTCATTCATCATTACAGTTAAATTATGACCCAATTGTAGATTTCTAAATTAACATGTAAAAAAGTGTTTCATTAAACTATCTTGATTGCTTAATATTTTAGTCCACAATACTGCTTTAATGGTTGCCTTGCTTTTATTATTATTATTATTATAGGAGAGAGTCAGAAAGGAGAAACCATTCATTAGCTCGTCATGCAGACATTCTTGCTGCTGTTGAAACAAGGCTGTCACTATTAAATATGACTTTCATGAAATATGTGGATTCCAATCTCTGTTGCTTCATCCCAGGAAAGGTAAAATAGAATTGCTTGCCTAGAACAGCTGGACTGCCCTACATAAACTTATTATAAAGTTATGAATTTTTAATTTTAGAAATGTTAGAATTGTTTCTACTTCTCTGAATGAGTTTCTACTAATGAATTTGGCTTCTGTACAGTTATCAATATAAATATGTATCATTTATGTGATCTTTATATTTAAAATTCTAATTATGAAATAGACAGTTGAAACCCTAATATTATTTAGAGAAGTTTGTTAAGAGTTCATACTCAAGAATAAAATTTGAGGTTTTACTGTTTCTTATGATACCAGAGATACGCAATGAACAACATACATATTGTCCCTGCCTTCAAGACTTAAAATTTTGGGGAGGTAGAATAGGAGGGACAAGCTGGTTTTTGTTTTTTTTTGAGAAATGTTTCATAAAGACAACTTTATAAACTTTCAGATTTGACAAGAATAAACAATTGCTATTTACCAATATTCCCAGAACTAAATAGCAGTCCTGTTTAACATAGAAATAAATATATTGTAGCATATTACCATTACTAAGTTAATAAAAACTCCAACATTCAACACACTACTTACACCTTCAGTAGTACCCTGCTCCTTGAATTAAGTATAAATTGAGGTATGTCTGTATCTTTTTATATGGAAGTGGTAGAGATATAATTAAAGGTCATTTTGCTACTTGGTTGATGCTAGCAAAAGGTTCCCTTAACATGGTTGGAAATAATTAATATCTAGTAAAATTTGAATGTTCTCTTTTTATTTCCAAAGATAATTTACATTGGCAATATTTAATATGTACTTTGTCCATTTTTAGTTTTCTTTGACATTTATTTTTGGGGGAATCACATTTCTTATAATTGTATTTGAAATATTTTTGGTGTATCTTGCTTTCTTTGCATTATCCACATTTTCTTTTAAAGATCTTGTTGCATACCAGCACATTACCTACTAATGCTTTTTACAGGGTGCTGTAAGAGGGTGACCAGTTAGATACTTCAGAGTGATTCTTATGCCAGATTTTTCTGAATCTGACTTAAAGGCCTTAACTTTTAAGTGTTCCTGAGAAGTTCTTTGAACTTAGCTTGTTTCATATAGCATCATAGTTTTTATTGCATATCTCATTGTTAGAAACATGAATGTTTAAGAAACATCTCACAGTTATCATAACTTCGAAGAGAGTTCAGTCAGTTGTTAAGTAACAGAGTTGAATAGTTTGTGACAGAGTTCATGTGGCCTACAAAGATTAAAATATTTAGGATCCAGGCTGGTTGTAGTGACTCGAACCTCTAATCCCAGATACTTATGAGGCTGAGGCACGAGAATCCCTTGAACCCGGGAGGCGGAGGTTGCAGTGAGCCAAGATCACACCACTGCACTCCAGCCTGGGCAACAGAGCAAGACTGCCCCAAGAAAAAAAAAGAAAGAAAAGAAAAATTTAGTATCTGGCCTGTACACAAAAAGTTACCAATTTCTGTGCTAGTTGATCAGGCTCATGTGTTTGGAATGGTGATCTTTACAGTCTAAATAAATAATGTTGCCAGGCACAGTGGCTCACACCTGTAATCCCCACCCTTTGGGAGGCCGAGGCAGGTAGATCACAAGGTCAGGAGATCGAGACCATGCTGGCCAACATGGTGAAACCCCATCTCTACTAAAAATACGAAAATTAGCTGAGCATGGTGGCACGTGCCTGTAATCCCAGCTACTCAGGCATCTGAGGCAGAAGAATCGCTTGAACCAGGGAGTTGGAGGTTGCAGTGAGCCGAATCACGCCACTGCACTCCAGCCTGGCAACAAAGCAAGACTCCGTCTCAAAAACAAACAAACAAACAATGTTAAATTCACTTGAGTCCTGTCATTTTTTGGAAACCACTTGTTGACTTCTTTTTTTTTTTTTTTTTTGAGTCGGAGTCTTGCTGCATCACCCAGGCTGGAGTGCAGTGGGGCAATCTCGGCTAATAGCAACCTCTGCCTCCCGGTACAGGAGTGTTCCCTTTTTTGTACTTCTTATGCTTAAACTTTTCACATCCTGTCTGCAAAAAATAAGGATGTGGCATTTAGTTTCCACATGCTGAAGTAAGAACATTATACAAAATTTTCAGTCTAACATATAATCTTCATTTAATATATGGTGTTTATGATAAGTTGTTCTTGTTTTCCCTGAGATCTTGCTTCTCGGATATACTTAAAAGTCTAGGCCGGGTGCAGTAGCTCACACGTGTAATCCCAGCACTTTGGGAGGCTGAGGCGGGTGGATCACGAGGTCAGGAGATCGAGACCATCCTGGCTAACATGGTGAAACCCTGTCTCTACTAAAAATACAAAAACAAAATTAGCTGGGCCTGGTGGCAGGCGCCTGTAGTCCCAGCTACTCGGGAGGCTGAGGCAGGAGAATGGCATGAACCTAGGAGGCAGAGCTTGCAGTGAGCCGAGATCACACCACTGCACTCCAATCTGGGCGACAGAGCAAGACTCTGTCTCCAAAAAGAAAGTTCAGAAGCATTTTTGTTTTTGAGATGGAGTCTCGCTCTGTTGCCCAGGCTGGAGTCCAGTGGCACAGTCTCAGCTCACTGCAACCTCTGCCACCCACCCAGGTTTAGGCGATTCTCATGCCTCAGCCTCTTGAGTTGCTGAGACTACATGTGTACACCCCACACCCAGGTAATTTTTGTATTTTTAGTAGAGGTGGAGTTTCACCATGTTGGCCAGGCTGGCCTCAAAACTCCTGACCTCAAGTGATCCGCCTGCCTTATCCTTCCCACAGTGCTGGGATTACAGGTGTGAGCCACTGTTCCTGGCCACGGAAGCTTTTATACTTTATTAAGAAAACCAACTTTTGTAGTTTTATATAGACTACATTCATTTTGTCCAACTTTAGGTCTACAGTAAGCATTTTATTCACTTTAGTGAATCTGAGTAGTAGCAGCATTATAGTTTAAATTAGATAGCCAAATATGTACCAGAATTTTGGACCTTTAAAGTAAAAGTTGGGGCCGGGCGCGGTGGCCCACACCTGTAATCCCAGCACTTTGGGAGGCCGAGGTGGACGGATCTTGAGGTCAAGAGATCAAGACCATCCTAGCCAACATGGTGAAACCCTATCTCTACTAAAAATACAAAAATTAGCTGGCCGTGATGTCATGAACCTGTAGTCCCGGTTACTCAGGAGGCTGAGGCAGGAGAATCGCTTGAACCCGGGAGGTGGAGGTTGCAGTGAGCCGAGGTCGTGCCACTGCCTTCCAGCCTGGGCTATAGAGTGAGACCCTGCCACACACGCACAAAGAATTTAGACAGGTTACAAGTTTGCTATTACCTAGGACAGGGACCAGCAAACTTTTTTTTGGTAAAAGGCCAGATCATAAATATTTTTGGCCTTGTGAGCCTTGTGCTCTCTGTCACAGCTATGCAATTCTGAGAAACAGCTGCATGCAATGTGTGGTAAATGAATGCTTATGCCTGTGTTCCAGTAAAACTTTATTTACAAAACCAGGCATAGGCTAAATAGGGGCATAGTTGGCCAACCCTAACTACCACATTGATATTCTCTTTATCTTCTCTCAGAACTAAGATGTTATAGAATGTTGGCTTACTCCTTATACATTTCTCAAATCTTCTGTCTAACACATGGAAGTTACACTTTTTACAGTAAACTCATGTTAGTATCAGCAGTTCACATATACTGAAGCACAACTATATGTGAGCATTGAGCAACCAACCGTTCATAGAGATAATGAAAAAAGATGTGGATAGTCTCTGCTCTTCTGTTTTTTTTTTTTTTTTTTTTTTTTTTGAGACGGAGTCTTGCTGTGTCCCCCAGGCTGGAGTGCAGTGGCGCGATCTCGGCTCACTGCAAGCTCCGCCTCCCGGATTCACGCCATTCTCCTGCCTCAGCCTCCTGAGTAGCTGGGACTACAGGCGCCTACCACCGCGCCCGGCTAATTTTTTGTATTTTTAGTAGAGACGGTGTTTCACCGTGGTCTCGATCTCCTGACCTTGTGATCCGCCCGCCTCGGCCTCCCAAAGTGCTAGGATTACAGGCTTGAGCCACCGTGCCCGGCACTCTGCTCTTCTGTTTTATTTATATTTTTTTAAAATATTTTTAGAGACAGGGTCTCACCATGTTGCCCAGGCTGTCTTAAACGCCTAGACTCAAGCAATCCACCCACCTCAGCCTCCCAAAGTGCTGGGATTACAGGTGTGAGCCCCCATACTGAGCAGCATAGTCTCTGCTCTTTTTTGTTTTTTGTTTTGTTTTGTTTTGAGATGGAGTCTGTCTCTGTCGTCCAGGCTGGAGTCTCGGCTTACTGCAACCTCCGCCTCCTGGGTTCAAGCAATTCTCCTGCCTCAGCCTCCCAAGTAGCTGGGACTACAGGCGCATGCCACCATGCCCAGCTGAGTTTTCTTGTATTTTTAATAGAGACAGGGTTTCACCTTGTTAGCCAGGATGGCCTCGATCTCCTGACCTCATGACCCGCCTGCCTCAGCCTCCCAAAGTGCTGGGAGTACAGGTGTGAGCCACTGCACCCTTCCCAGTCTCTGCTCTTAACTGTCCCTAGTAGCCCTGGTAAACCTTTTGTTCTTATTGAAACACAGTGGTCCCCAAGAATTAGGGGTTTTAGAGTATAATTGACTATGTAAGGCCATGAAGCTATATTTCCCTGAACAGACATAAAAATCTATATATTGGGCATTATTGGCTTATATTTATTGTTCTGGGAAAGAAAACTGGTGGTTTTAATTCCTTTTTTCGTGTGTAAATTTTTGTTTTCTTGTAATTTCAAGTTTACACAAAAATTACAAGACTGGTACAAGGAACTCCCATATAGCTTATTTGCATATCCAGCAGTTATTTACCTTTCATCCTGTTTGCTTTTATTTTCTCTATATAAATACATTTTGGCCAGGCACCGTGGCTGCCGCCTGTGATCCCAGCACTTTGGGAGGCCGAGGCGAGTAGATCACAAGATCAAGAGATCGAGACCAGCCTGGCCAACATTGTGAA